CCCCAAAACCCCAAAACCCCAAAACCCCAAAACCCCAAAACCCCAAAACCCCTTATTTTCTTAAACCACTTGAGAAGCTATATAACAAATAATATTTTTTGCAAAATGCTTCGATCGCAAGACAATAAGGAGCTTTTTAAAATAATTGAAATCCTTGAGAGACAAGAAGGGACTCGATCAAAGAGCGATCTAGAATTCATGCAGAGCTATTTCACTGGCCTGGTAACCTAGATCTTCTATTTCCAGGATTTGAAATAATTTTCAACTCCTAGTTAGCCCTGGACATATTCATTCTTTCTATAGATGGAATCAATCCTTGAACTTGACAATGATAAGGGCTCTGAGTCTGCAGGAAAATCGAATGAAGAGCTTCAGATGAACCTGTTCAAATCAATGAAGTATTGCTATGTGGACAAGGGACATTCAGTATTTCAATACGGAGACCTTGGAAGCTTGTTCTACATTATTTTAAAAGGGACTGTAAGCTTGAGCATCCCAACTGAAAAATTAAAAACCTTAACTGAGCAAGAGTATTTCATGTATCTCTATAACAACTATGAAAGGTTGCACTTTGAAAAAATTGAAATCGAGAGTCGAATCCTCACAAAATTACAAGAAGTTAGGGAATCTGGGGAGAAACCACCTGAAAACAAATATGTAAAGCCTAGATTAATCATTTTAGGATAACAAAATACAAAAAGAGTACAACATCTGGGAAATGGTAGATGTTGTGAAGTACTCTAATGGCCAAAGCTTCGGAGAGCTCGCCCTGATCAACAACAAACCTAGAGCAGGCACAGCCTTCTGTGAAGAAGCATGCCACTTCGCTATTATTGATAGAGACTCATACCAGAGAATATTAGGCAAGATGCATCAGAAATAAGATTAATAAAATAACTGATTTCTTACAAAATATCAAAATATTTGCGAGCCTAACTCTGCAAACTCTTCAGAAGCTGACTTATTATATGGAGCTACTTCCTGTCACTTATAAGCAAAAATTGTTCAAGCAAGGAGAGCCTCAGAAAGGAGTTTTCTTGATTAAAAGTGGAGAGTTTGAAATCACCCAAAAACTTGTTGAAAAACAAGAAGGTCATGAGCACTTGTACATTAAAAAGGCTAAAAACAATGATCTCAGCAAGTTAAAGCAGTTTAGGCTCTCTATCATCAGCAAGTATCATGTAGGTGTTTGAATTGTTACCATTTAGATAATCGGACATCAAGAATGAATAGATGGGGTAAATAGCACATGTACAGTTCAATGAATCAGCATCAAAGGGAGTGCATATTTTATCCCTAAAAAGGAGTTCCTTCAACGTTTCAAACTTTGTAATTTTTCAAATTTACATCATCTAGCTAACTCAAAGAAAGCTCTCGATGAAGAAAAAGAGAATAAAAGCAAATTAATTGATTTACGGAAGAAAGTATTCAAAAAGGTTAAAAACAAACTGACAGCAGACTATATCTTTAAAAGTAGGCATACATCTATAAACCCTAGATCCCAAACTTGGAGAAACAAGCAAATAAAGAAGGTATGCCCAGTTTCTACCACTTAGGATTCTCCACTAAATCATCATCTTCACTTGAGAAATTAATCATGGGTAATGAAGAGTCTCTTCCAAAGCCAAAAATTCCACTACCAAGAGTGAAACTATCTAGATTGTAAGAATTACAGTCACAAATATAGAGCAAATTCAATATCTTCTACGGTTTCGAAAGATGTATTTCATTTGACTCACATTTAGGGCACTTCATTAGGGAAATAACCTTGATGATCTCATCATTTTGACCAATAACTCAAGAAGCAACACTGGAATAGATCTTCGAAGAGAGCAAGCAGGTTTTGATAATCTTTAGAATTCGAAAATATTGAACCAAAAGCTCACTTGAAGAATCTTTGTAAGTTCTCCCTTAATCATATCTAGGAAAGGAGATAATTCTAAATAAAAAGAAACTTAACAATAATCACATAAAAATTCATGGTAAATATTATTTTCGATCAATCTCTAGATAAGAGCAGGGGCTCCTTTGACCAATTTAAAAAGTTACCAAACCTCAAACCCCAAATAACCAAACTGGTACCCCTTCAAAACCTACCTATATAGGCAAAGAAAACCCCTGTAAACCCTAAGAAAAAGTCTACTCTCCCACTCTTGCACAAAAAGACTAAAAATCCTCCTCACCTCAACTCCCAAAAACCACCAATGAACCTAAACCTCCGATACCCCACCCGCAACAAACACACCTTACATCCCTGCATCTCCCAAAAGATCGGAATAACCTCCACCCTCTCCCACATCTGGTACTCCCCTTCCTAACCCCTAGCACTGAGCCACCCACAGCCTCAACCCGCAAGAAGAAAATCAGACAATTCCCAAGCGACAGCTGTATCAAAATCAGACAGCTCCGTACAGCAGAAATGCATGTGCTTCGGAATAGGTGTGTTACCAAAAACCTCAAAAAGCCGTATCCCCCAGTCGAAGCTCCCACTCCAAAACTCTACTTGCCCAAAGGCCTTAGTCTAAATTACAAAAACAGTAACGTTTTGAAACGCAAAAGTTTCAAGATGACCTCTCAAAAACTTGACTTAAAACCACACAAATTTGTTCTAAAAACCAAGAAAGTTTCAACTTAAATTATTTTGATTGGGGTTTTGGGGTTTTGGGGTTTTGGGGTTTTGGGG